CTTCATAGTTAAGGTTGAGACATGCTTTGATGAGCTATGAAATAGTTAGCAACTTGCTGTTTAAATTGGCATCTGAGTTCACATCCCATTAAAATAAATGGGAAAGGTCACACTTAGAATCTATTGTTTCAGGCTGTCTGCAAACTCAGGCAGACATCTGCGCATTTATTACACTTGCCTTATGTTTTGAATGGTTTCTTCGCAACCCTAGGAGCTAGGGGTTTTTGTGTTGGTTGGTTTATTGATTGACTTGTTTTGTTTTCAAATGAAAGTGGAGACTCTGGAGAACAATATAGAGGTCTGTCTGTGTCCCCTTGGCTGTTTCTTCGCATCCCGAAGGAAAATGGCAATAGCATAACACCATCACTCCTGTACTTAATAGAGGCATGGGAAGGCAAGGGCTCAAACACCAGCTTTCCCACAAGTTCTGCAAGGAAGCGTTTACCAGTAACAGCACCAGCAAAGCTGGTGGTGAAACTGAAGAGGCAGTAGGCAGGTATGTGCAGGGAGAGGAAAGAGAGGGGGTTGGGTCTGAACCAGTTTGGTTTTGAAACTCTTGGGTCTGCCTGTTCCCTCTGCTAGTAAAAGATCTTTATAAGCATCAAGGGGGAAGCAGAAAAGTCCCTATGTATATTTTCAATTCTGTGGATGTTATTTAAAGACTGCTCTATCAGAAACTAAATTTTTTTTAACAAGTCAATATAAAAAAATTCAAGTTGGTAGCATCCTTTTATTAAACTATTTTCAAAGGAGGACCTAGACTGATATATATACACAAGTCACTGGAACAGAAAAATATTACATGCATTCCTCCTATTTAATCAGTGCAACAGAAAACTATGTTGATGCAAATAATTAATTTAACGGCTGAGAATGCAAACAGACAAAACAGCAGGAAATTCAAAGTTATGATTCATCAGAGCAACAGTAAGTGGAATTTGGTATCACAATATATGCCATTAACAGGGCTGGCTCCAGGCACCAGCGGAGGAAGCATGTGCCTGGGGCGGCACACGGCATTCCATCCATTCTTGGGGTGGTTTTTTTTTTTTTTTGCTTGGGGCGGCCCTGGCCATTAATTTTATGTCTTAACTATACTCCTGACAATGCTGAGTTACAGTGTATGTGGGAGTTATGGGCCAGTTATTCAGACAATTGAAGTATGCCCACGTAAACGGGAAATTGCTCATCCAAATGGCTAATTGCATGGATTTGAAAATGCAGTCATGGTAACTCTATGTAAATTAGGTCCACAAGTGTTCACCTTAATTATCTGAAATTCTGGCCTCACTACTGTGAATTCCCTTACTTTATCTGGCATCAACAATGAAGTTGTATTTACCCGGGTTTTTTGGCATAATTGCATATGTGATTGATTGCGTATGCAAATAGACATGCTAGGCCAAATTAATCACTGGGGTAAGGAGTGCCCCTCCACTGAAGTCAGGCAAACCTGTTTTCCCACTGACTGATTTTATCTGAACATGCAAAGGTGAGTTCTGTTTAAATTCAAGATTTTCAAAAAACTGAGAGTAAGCATGCAAAATATCAGCTCCAAGGTCATCGTTTCAGAAAGTTTAAAATGAAAACAGCTATCTCAATGATAACTGCAAGTAAAATAGCTTTCTGGAAAGAATAAATAAGACTTGGAAAGCCTGATGTAGATGTAACTGATCTTGCTTGGGCTGACAGCAAGACTGGAACATGGGACCTTCAATGCTAAAAGCATGAGCTCCTACCACTTGAGCTAAAGAACCGATGTCATTAACTGGAAACAGTAGCAGACTCACTAACCTCTTACGTCAACCAGCTACTAGAGATGGACAAAGATCCAACACTAGCCCGGTGTGGGTTACATGGACAGTGCAATCAACAGAGATCCTGGGCTGTGAGGCGCTGAATGCCACCATCTCCACTTGAACTGGGTTTTGAAGGGGTTCACCACCCTGCAGAAATCAGGCCCCGAGTGACCGAACCGTCCAACGAAGTGGTGTTCACCAAAAACAACCCTTCTTGGCAGTAAGGCCAAGGATTTAAACAGACCTACTCTCTCACCCCTGGAGGGAGCCTAAAGATCGGAGATGAGGTACATTTGTGGAGCAGTGGAGGGTGAGGGAAATTTGCCCTGCCACTGCATCTGCTGCTCCTAATTTAGCAGATTTAGCAGTTTTAGTGGAAAAACAGAAGATTTACATCTTTAGCCCATATGAAATACATTGCTACCCTGGGCCACAACGCGATACATACTCAGCTTTGTTATGAGAACTCCATATACAGTGTGTGACTAACAGGAACCCAGACACGACTCACAGGAACCCATTACTAAGTTAGATGAACATTTTATGGAGGTTATTGGAACGGACTCCAGTAAAAACCTCACCAAATAAATCATACACAAGAAAGTAGCTAAAAATAGAGGGAATGGAAGCAAAGGTAAAACACTGGTACCTTGTCCATCTTTACTTCTAGCAAAATATTAAGCAGAGTGGGGGGGGGGGGAGGGAAAGAGAAAATGCTTTTCACTTCTGATAACTTTTTATTCTATTAAAATTGGTATTTAAATTTGGGCAGAGAGCTTTCAAAGATTCAAAGAGAAGCAAGCTCAGGGCTTCAATTACAAACAAGTGAACTGTAAGAGTGTGGAAGCTGGAATTGTGAGGCCTAGAACTCAGGATACCTCTCTTCTCTTGGACTCTGACACTAGTCTTTGTGACCTTTGGGTAAGTCACGTTTTGTGCTCAGTTTAAGTATAGTGACTTCCTAAGCCACATGGATATTGCAAGTATTAATATTAAGTGCTTTGGGACCCTGAGGTGCAGAGTACTATTAGCAGCGGCACTACGTTAGAGCCGTGAGGTCCCAACTAAGACCAGGGCCCCATTGTGCGATGTTCTGTACCAACACATAGTACAAGAGCTTACAGTCCAATAGACAAGGCAGGGTGGAAGAAATGAAGTATCAAACCCACAGGGGACTGAGGCAGAGAGTTACACAGGAAGTCTGTAACTGAGAACTGCTAACTGAACCCAGAACTTTTGAGTCCCACTCCACCACAAGACAGTCTTGCCGAAAAACGAGGCAAACGTGGAGAGTGCTTTGGATTACTCCTTTTGAAAATTCAATTGCAGTCTCCGCTGCAGCCACCGTGAGGCAGCAGAATGTTGTAACATATTTTGAAGTACTAACATTCCACTTGTCCCAACAAAGTTCTACAGATCTTCACAGGAACATAACAGATACTTAGTGTGTTCTCCTGATGTAACAAATCAATACACCCTCCCTCCCCTGGATATGGGCCCTCACCAAAAGTGTGTTTTGGAGCAGTGAAGAGGGTAAAGTGTAAATATCTCAAGTGGCTTGAGCTGCCCACTGACAGGCCATGATGTGTGGGACATAACGATCTTGCCCTGAAAACTCTAATCATCTTCTGAAGATTGACAATCATTAATGAGGTTTATCTCTTGGGTAGATAGATACCAAAACATTAGCTTCTCTCCTTAGAGGATGATAATGGATTTTCTTCCCTTTTTTGGATTTAGAAGATTTGAGGCTTGCTTCCCTTCCTGAGAGAATGTAACTGCAAGTGATGATCTCAAGCTAATTTTGTATAGACATAGTGGTCATTCACCATGTTATGCATGCACCATGCTTGTCACCAGCAATGTATTTAACCTCATAACGCCCATGTTTATCAACATTCCTATTTTACAGAAGGGGAAAATAGGTCAAGTGATTTCTTCAAGATAAGACAGCAAGACTAAGGGAGAGCTGGGAACAGAACCCAGATGTCCTGACTAATAGTCCTGTGCTTTAACACAAGACAATCTTTCCTCTGTGAGTTAGAATAGATGTTCCAAAGTTTGGGGATGTTCTGAAATAGTGTTTTGCTTTGTCCCGTTATGGACCTGGAGACAGCTGCAAAATAAACATTCGGATCCAGTTCATAATTTTTCAGATGCTCAGGGGGTTTCAAATCTACAGTAGAGTTTTGATTAGTCTCAGATTCAGGGTAATTCAAAAACTGAGTTTTGCTCCAGACCCATTGCTACAAGCTGGTAAGAACTTCGGACAGCATACATAGTGTCCACTGGTGCTTGGAGCTTGACGAACAAAATACTGGGTGAAATATCATGTTCTGTGTTATGCAGCAGGTGAAATTAGATGATCAAGGTAGTCCTTTCTGGCCTTAAAATCAGTTATAATCTGGACACACAGACTAGTTGCAACACAGCCCACTTTTTGTTAGAAGAGACACACAGCAGAACCAGTGGAATGAGTGGAACCAGTGACTGTAGCCTACTGCATTGACTTGAGTCCAGCTCAAGTCAATAGTGACTGAGTGTTACCTTGTGCTGCTTGTTCAAGTGATCTCTGGGAAATGAATTGGTACTCTCAGTCCCGTTCCACAAGGACAGGCATCCACCATCCCAGCACGCCCTGACTGATAACCTGGCTGGCAGAACCAGCAGATATACTGAGGAAGCATGTCCCATGGAGTGAAGCACTGTCACTAACTCAAGGGGCCCCGCTAGCTCTTGTCTGAGGCACGCTAGTGGGCAGGCGGGGGAAGCTTCCCCGGCTGCAGCCGAAGCAGTACCTGGCCTGGGGTATGATGGAGAACTTTGCTTTTCTAAGACTAATAATTTGCCAGCTTCCACCAGCATAAAACTCAGTTACAAAATAATCTCCCAAGTGGTTAAAAAAAAGGATGAAGGCCAGATTCTTTTGTACAGACGAATTGTGCTTGGGGCAGGAACGGGCTGAGAAGAGGTGCAAAGGTGGCCAGACCCTGCCTCCCACCAGACACACACCTGTGCTGGGGGCCAGAAGGGAAGGTATCCTAGAAGTTGTTACACTGGGCCTCTGGCACTAGAGGATTTCTTGGCATAGACGGAATCCCCCACTGGCCAGGAAAGCCTGGCTTGCAGGCTGCTTTGAGGTGTTAGGAGTGGCCACCAGCCCAAAACACCTAAAACACACATTAGTCTGTTTGCTCTTACCCGTTTTTGACTGCAGCATACAATCAGGAAGGTCTCTATACTGTGCTCCTTGAGGTAAGCATTGCGTTCGCCTCCAAAACCCAGCTCCACCTCGTAGTCTCCATTCAGATAATTCAAGGTTGCTTTGGTAATGTGGATTCGCCTGGAATGAGACAAAAGGCAAATTGTGGAGTTCATTAGGCAGCTCTAATAATCACGTATCTAGTAAGCCAATTCCTGCCGGTGAGAGATTCGGTGCACTAGAACAAATAGCTCATTTCAGGGTCCAATCCTGCTGCCGCTGATATCCCCTGGGAGTTTTGTCTTGCCTTTCAAAGGGAGTAAAATCAGGCCCATTGATATTTTTCCACAGAATTAGGTTAAAACACATTATCCAAGTTTTGCATCCATTAATAAGCATCCCGGTGTATGTAAGGCAGACATTCATTCATTCATACATTCATTTGATTTGCTTGCTCTAACACACAGTAGACATGCTTGCTCAACAACCAAAACACATTACACACACATGACCGAGACATGAGTCTACAAAGTCATATGCCATGTATACTCTGCTGCATCTAGTTTACTATACCATATTAATCACTGTAGTACCCAGGTGCCTTACAGAGGTATACAATCAAGTAGATGATCTATGTTTTCTACTCTTCCCTCCTAGTGGAGAGGAAATGTAGAAATACCTGCAGAATAATAATCTCATGGGGAAGCTATGTCAGGGAGTTGGTCTTCCACTGGTCCTTAAGGTAGTGAAATGTACGTTTATTTGGATCTGTTATGGAAGGGTGTTCCAAAGCAGGAACAACATTTCCTTCTGATGACCAGGTGATATGTTCAGCAAACATTTATTAGCATATGGTTACACCTCTCCCTAACCACGACCCATTGTGATAGGGATCACACAGAGACATTAATCCTGAGTGTCACTTCATCAATTTCACTGGAATTACAAAGAGGATGAATTCCATTCTTTGCATATAAGGCATGTCCACCATGGGTGACTGCAGACCTATTGTGAACAGAAGTGTAGGGTTGAGAGGAAATAAACCAGCCAGTGAGTGCCCAAATTCAAAATTCTGCTCCACACTCATGCTATGACAGACAAACAAACTAACCAAGACCCTCCTGCAGGTCAAAAGCAAAACTGTCATGTGGATTGACTCACAACAGCTTTGGTGAAGCAACAACTTACCCTGCTTTACCTCCGGCTTCCATGTGATTGGCTAGCGTGACATCATTTGACCACACATCAAACTGCCACTTCCTGAGGCCCAAGACTCCACAGTGAACTCTCCCACTGTGGATCCCAACCCTCATGTTCACGTTGACTCCTGTCACCTCCCGGACCAATCTGAAAAGAGATGCAGAATGAGAAGGATGTCTCTGGGAATTATGTGCCTGTATCCAGTGACATAACTTGACTCCAAGAGTACAAAATCCACAATTCCCTAGAAATTATTCAAACACACACAAAGGGCTGCTCATTCATAGTACTTTAGCTACAGAAAATAGACAGGCTGTACTGCACTTTGATAATCTGGCTAGCCAAGCAAAGTACTAATTAGACAGGGGTGTCCTTGGAATAAGTCCTTTGTTCTCTCAACTTGGTTGCAAGTTCAGAGCTCATGGAAAAATTCTTTGGGAGGGTGAAAGCACTAAGTCTTGGTCTTTGATTTCCATTCCAAAACTGGACATAACCTCCCGGCTCTCTGAACCTCATTAAAAGTAATAGCATGTTGCAAAGAGAAAAAGGAAATGATTTTGAGCTCGTAATTTGTCTGAATGGCACCAGGCATCAAGTGTTCCATGGATGAAACCTGATCTGTGTGTGAAATACTCACTGCAGTTGGAAACCTTGAACTGAGCTTTAAACTGCAGCCATCACAAACCACAGAACCACATCTTCTGCTCTCACTCCAAGTGGGCAGCTACAAACACTCAGACTCTGGTTTTAATGAGCTCTAGGATCCTCTGTTTGCTCCCAGAACGATACTGTCATACTTGGTGGTCTTTTCCTTTTTAGGGCAAAAATTTACTTGAAGAGCTCTTCACATGGAAATTTCATTTGGGAATTCAGGTGTGTGGGGGGGAACCTACGAAGAGTCTGATGGCCTCATTAAGGCCAAATGTGGCTTATAGTTGCTGATGATCACATCATTACCAGAATGCCCAGGTTTCACAGAGAAACTCACCTGACAGTTCCTTGGTTGTCTATGGGGTTGAGAGGGGGGCAGGGCACACAACAATCTGAGCAGTTGATTCTATGGGACAGATCCTGTACTTTCAGTAAACGCAGGTTCTTGTTGTGCACAAGGCAAATCCTACTAACTGCAGTCAGTCCTGACCACAGCCCTTTTCTGTTCCTGCAAAGACAACCTAACCTGGGGGAGGAACCTGCATGGAAAGGGAGATATTAATTCTCCAAGGATCTAGTGCATTCTGCCCTCATCACCTGATATGGGGTTCCACAGCCCCAGGTTTGGTAACAAACGAGCAGTGGTTGCATACACCAGTCAATGAAATAAATTGCCCCAAATTCAGTTTCATTTGATCCTTATTCTTTTCTTTTCTTTAAGAAGGAATCAAATGGTTTTATAAAAGTGCTATTTTCAACCCCAAAGCCTGATCTGGATTGAGACCTCATTGTTGTAAGTGTCATACAAACAAGAGGTAGATATGGTCTCTCTCCCAAAGACCTCTCAATCTAACACTTGACATGTTTCTAATGGCAAACGCCTGACACTTTGACTTACCGGGGTGTTATCATTGAACCTTGTCTCATAGCTCCCAAATGAACTGATAACACAGGCTGTTTATTTTTTCCTCTGGTTTTCTTAACGATATATACATAAATAGAAGCCTATCTTTCCACTTACTCATCCCGGTACTTACATGTCCTCTGTGCACTGCACTATCTAGCTTTGAGAACACTTATTTGTAACCAATTATGCCTATGTTAATTGATCTGCTCAGAGCTGGAACTACTCAATATAGGTCCAATTCTGTGATGTGGTGAGTGTTCACAAATCCCACTGATTTCATTGGGAGCCAACATGTGTTCAGTCCTTTTCAGGATCAGCTCCTCTAGCATTAAAGGATCTAAAACAGAAATGTAAAGGCTCTGCAGTTCTCATCTCCTTCAGTTCAGTAAATTGGATTGAATTTCCACTTTATCTTGATCAAGTCTCAAGGTACGTATTTATTGTGCTGGGTACAGTACATCCTTATTGGGATTTTTTCAAGGACATAAACAAACACCCACACCTTTGTCTCATTTTTTAGATCACAAGTATGTGGTTTGAAAAGCAGCGTTCCCACCTAAGAGACCTCTTTCTGAGACTGGTATGCAACAACTATTCCTCGTCTCATACACAATGCACACCTGGACTATTATATCTGTACTTTCACTTATTTTTACATGCTGCTTCCTTGCACTTTTCACCTGTGAGATCTGTATAAAAGGAGTTGTCGAATAACCTGTTTTCAATGGCTGTAGTAAAGAATCCCATGGAATTGATGTGGAGTACAAAGAAATGGCAGGTTAGGCAGCATCTTATTAAATGCTAAAAGGAATCATTTCCAACAACTTGTACTACCAAGAAAACACTCTGTCTATTACATTTAACAGCAAAGGTCTCGCTTTCTACCGTGGGTGGCTTGAAAGAATCTATAGCCCTTGACAGATTGCTTCGTAAACCACCCTCCCCGCTCAGCTGAGTAACACTTAGGGTATGTCTCCTCTGCAGTTAAACACCCGCAGCTGGCCCACGTCAGCTGGGATGTGGGGCTACAAAACTGCAGTGTAGATGGCTGGGGATGAAGCCTGGATTCTGGGACCCAGTGGTGGGTGTCCACAGCGAAATTTTATAACCCTGTCTGAGCCCCACGAGCATGAGTCAGCTGACACGGGCCAGCTGCAGGTATTTAATTGCAGGGTAGACATACCTTATGAAGCCGGAAGAGTCTAGGCTTCTTTACTGAACTGCAACCCACCTTCCCTTGAAAAAAATGCATTGGGCTGCTAGTAAACCCTGGGGTTTACAAATAACTCCTCCTCTATCTTTAAAGCTTGCCTCCCACTTTGTATGGGATGAAAGGCATTTAACAATCACTGGAATAAGTGATTTTCTGTTCTCACTCCCCCTTCCTCCCCCAACCTCCACCTACCCTTAGGAACACAGAGAAAATGTTTCAGATTTATTAACAGTTACAAAGCTCTCTTGAACATTGTAAAACAGACTTTATCATTGCTGGGCCTTGCCCCATGTGGAGTTACTTTTGCCTGTGCCAGGGATGGCAAAGCAGGAGTTGAACGCTACCGTTGTAACCCGTTGGATTTATACACTCGCTCAGTGCAGTGTAAACGACTGAAAAGGGACAAGGCAATGAAGCACCAGGCTGCTTATCTGTGAATAAACAGCCAAACCCAACTGTTTGCGGCCAAGTAATTAGTCTGAAAGAAGCCGTTCACCCACCTCTGGACTTGTGCCCATCTTCAGGAAGATGACTTGGCACAGGGTGGATGAAGGGGTGATCTGTGGCAGTTGTGAGGAGGATACGATTCTCTTTCCCCATCCCAAGCACACACTCTGCAGCTGCTACGGACCCTCAGGGTTGCAGTGGCGTCCATGATTGTGGCACCAGCAGCATCCTTCAGTCCCATGATCCTAACTACCCTCTAAGTTGGTGCAGTTGGAGCCCTTTTGGTGCACAGGCCTATATCATATTGTCCTCATGTAGCTTCATCAACATCCTGTCTTAGCCTTTCCTCCCCCTACATATTACATCTGCAGCCTATTGGGCCTTTTCCAAATCAGGTTAGTAGGCAGCATTTTTCCCTTTAAGAAGCAAAGGGGCAAGCTACTGCAGAATGACCAGGGGTCTACAAAGGTTACAGACAGATTTCCATTAGAAACCCTCTTTTCACATGCCTCTACCTTGCTGAAAAATTCTTGTTTGGGACTGACACCTTCCATGCCTAGGATGACCTATCCCAGTAGGGAGGAGGGGGAATATTTTAGATGCCCCCTCTGGTTCTAGTGGAATCAGGCTTCCGTCTTTCTACTGTCAGGTCCATTTGTGTGCCTGTGCTGGTCCCAAATGTACCCACTCTCTGCTGGCCTTTAGCTCAATGAGCTAGCTATCTCATGCATTAAGAGATGAAATACATTTCTCTCCCTGGGGAATTGGTACTTACGAGATAGCCTCTATCATGTCCATTCCCATTTCAACACAGCAGTGTGCATGGTCAGCTCTTGCTTCTGGTAATCCAGACACGCAGTAGTAGCAATCGCCCAAGATTTTTATACGTAAACAGTGATTTTCCTACAAAGAAAAAAGAAAGAGAGGGAGAAGTATGAAACTTCATTTCATGCTTGCAATAACTTGCCTTCTAGGGCAGTGAATGGTAGAAATCTAGTGAACCGGTGCAGTATGTCAATCGTGTAACAGGAACCAAAATCAGAATTATAATAGAAAACTTACAGCTGCAAGCTTATCAAATCTGGCAAAGAGCTCATTCAGCGTCATGACCAGCTCCTGAGCTGTACACTGGGAGGCCAGGCTGGTGAACCCCTCTATGTCTGCAAAGAGGATGCTATGGAAAAAAAAAAAGAAAGATACAGACACAAGTACCATTAAATTATTGCCTCGTTGCCTAAGTTCTAATCTGCTAGTTAATGTCCCAAGAAGAACACACAGGCTGGGAGTCATTCAAGTGGCTTAATTCATGGCTGATATCAACCCTTTTCCCCAACAGAGCACACTCTTGGCAATTTCCCTCCTTGTCCCATTTCTGAAAGCTCCACTCAGAAAAGCCACACTCATTTGTCTACTTTCCTGCCCCCCAAAAGAAATTGAGGTTTTTCCTGTAATGTGTAAATCTAATTTCCTTGTCCCACCTCTCACACAGCTATAATGGTCTGGTTTTCTTGCCTACACCCCTGATCCATTACTACTGCAATAATAATAACAGTACTCTGCTCATACATTGTAGCCTTAAAGGGACCTTAAAGTGCTTAATAGATGCTAAGTTCCACAACACTCCCTGTGAGGCAGGAGTTATACTAATTGTATAGACAGGTAAAGCAAGGCACAACAAGGTTGAGTAAAATGCTTAAAGTTGCACAGTGAAGAGCAGGACCCAAGAGTCCTGATTCCCTGTTCTAACCCACTAGAACACCCAGCTCCAGAGCCCTGGAACGCTTCTCTGTTCTTTATGAACCAGCGAGGGAAGTCTGCAGTTTTCTTATAGCCCAGCCTTATTAGCTTCCTTTTCTCACCTAGTTTTTTGGTCTAATTTCTGAAAAACTTATATAAATAATATTTCACTTTTACACAGCATCTTCCATTCTGAATGGTCCCCAAAGCACTATACACAACTATTCACATACAGTACCCCGATATGCTGTCACCACGGAGGATGTAGGGAAGCAACCTGGCAGCGTAGAGCGCTGCCGCAAAACAAGAAGGGAGGGGAGGACATTCTTGCCAAACACACTGGGGCAAACCACTTCTGTTACAAGACTAAGACTAAACAAATAAGACTAAGACTGTTAAGATTTCATCCGAAAGACCCCTAAACTGCATCACACAAACAGACATGAAACTAAATTATTCTACCTTGGAAAAAAGATGAGGTATCCCTCCAGGATTTGATCCAGTTGGGTCTAAATATTAGACATGCTGTTTAGGCCACTGAGGTGCCTCACAAAGCAAAGTGAGATGCCACATTACACCCAGTTCATTATTTGCTACAGGAGATCTCTGATTGGTTACTCCCCAAGAGCTGCTGCTCTAGCCAAACTGCAGCGGGCACATTTTCAGGGACATCTTCCCATAACAGCCTAGGACATGAAGTAGTGCAAAAGTGGCAAAAAAAAATAATTAATGAGTATTTTGAAAATGCTGAAGCACATTTTGATTCAGGCACATTTTCACCCTGTTTTCTCACTTCCCTTCCATATTTCAACGCTAATATCTGACCATACTGCATGAAATAATTTTGGTCGGGCAGATGTTGAAGCTCAAACACGATAGGGAAGAGAGAAAACAGGGTGCCAAGCATGCCTGAATCAAAATGTGGTTTGGGATTTAAAAAAAAACCACTTTCATATCATTTGCAAACAAGTTAAAACAAAGGAATACAATTAAATTAAACCAAAAATCTATTGAGAAGCATGAATAGCTTCCTAAGCAACCACGGCTCTCCCTTGAAGACCTTGTACATTTTAATCTTGTGTTGTATTTTTGGACCATGAGCAATTATTATTAGAACTGGCTCATTATAAAAATTGGAAAATGTCTGATTCTTATGCTGGCAAAAAGCCTAATCTTTTTTGTGGGCTCAAGATCTACATGAAAACTACTTTCATACTGTTACTTACTTTTCAAGACAGGAATACTCTGTTAGGCAGCAGTACAAGACAGAAAAGCATTTAAACGGCCCTGGATTCAATATAATATGTGGTTTCCCTTGACTGGGATGGGAGGAAAACTGGTAAAATTTCACTATGGGGCAAACAATGAAGTCCTTCATCTTGCTCAGATCCCATTGTGTGGGCCTGTGCATATTACATAAACGACATTACACCTAAAGCACAGCTAGTAGTACTGCTCATTGTTCTCTTCTAGGTATTTCTGGAGACACTATGCATAATGTCTCACATCGCGTCACCGCTTGGGCAGTATAGTGGCTGTCTCTCACACACAGAGATTACTCTAATGATTCTGAAATAAGGGTCAGTGCTAATGCTAATATGCACAGGATAATAACTAATGGTCCCCCTCGCCATCATGTCAGGTAGGTAATGGACACTCCACAAACGCTACTCCTGGTAATCTTTTCACTGGTGAAATGGAGTAATTTTCAGAGGGCTTCATAGCTGATTTGCACACAAATTTATGTCTTTTCCAATTGAAGCTAAATGCCAACAGCCTCAACATTGCCTTAACTTGTAACCTTTGTTAGATGAGCAAAAATTGCTTTGGGTTTGAGCTCTGATGAATTAAAGATGCCTTTCTGTCAGCTTTATCCTCATCCTGAAGTTACAGGGAAAGAGCAGCTATGGGCCCTATTTTAGGATTCCACATCTGGCTGAACTTTGGACAGCTGTTGTACAGTGTAACACTAGAAACTCACAGATACAAACACCAGAGTTATGAAGTGACTGGTCAACCACACACCTCATCTGGAACCAGAAGTAGGCAATCAGACAGCAGCAGAGACCCCACTACAGTTCTGTGTTAAATGTAAACTACTAAGAAAAGGGAAAGTTTAAAAAATTGACAAGGTAAAAAAACTGTTTTTGTTCTTGTTTCATTTAAATTAAGATGGTTAAAAGCAGCATTTTTTTTCTGCATGTTCTGGTTGGTAAAGTCAAGCACTGGACACCTTCCAACTTCTGCAACAAATGAAGCAGGTTTCTACAGCCAACAACCTCTTTCATTCTAAACCAGTGGTGCTCACACTTTTTCAGTTGTGCCCCCTCTCACCAGTAATGGGATCTGTCTGTGTCTTCCCCCTCCATTACTGCACAGCCAAGGCTTCCTTGGCAGTGGAGCTTGGGCTGAAGGCAGAGCTGGGGGTGGAACTAGGGATGGGGAGTAGCTCCAGCTCAGAGCGGAGCTAGTTTGGAGGTGGAGAGGGAATGAGGGCAGAGCCCATCTGGAAGCGGAACGGAGGTACTGCTGGGGATGGAGCTGGTCAGGGGACAGAGAGGGAGTGACTGCAGAGCTGGGCCTGGAGGCGGAGCAGGACTTGGGGCTGAACAGGTTTGGGGGAGGAGCAAAGCTGGGGGCGGAGTTGGTCTGGGAGCCGGGCTGGAAGCGCGGCACTCCCACCCCCCTACCATGGGGGCTGGCCCCAACCCCGCCGCATGCCCCCCATAACATTCCTCTGCGTCCCCGAAGGGGAGCATGCCCCAAAATTTGGGGACCACTGCTCTAGACCCCTGATTCATCCCCAGAGCACCACCAGTGTACTGAATGAAACAGGGTCCTGTGAAAAAATAGCAAGTGATCACATAGGTAAAGGCTGCATGACAATGCAAACACACAAAGGGGATGAACTGAAGCTGAATGGGCAGCCTTCGTTCTGGCATTAAAGTTTTGTGTGCTTGACTTTGAAACTGCAACATTCTTTGAACCGTTTTTTGGGGTGGAATAGATTTATAAGCCACAATTTAGGGCTATTATCATTATCTAGCCTGCCCTCCCCGTCCCACACAACACAGGCCACACAATATCACCCCACAGGCAGAGTCAGAGCTTCTCTTTAGAACGAAATCTACCAGAAATTCCCCAAAAATGGCTGATCAGATTTGTGGGACATAGAATTGAAAGAGGAATTACTGTAATTATGCCAAGTTATTCTGAGGGAAAAAAGGAGCCTTCATGCCTTAATTCCACCCCACTCGCCCACTTCCCACCCTTTCTTTGTCTGGTACCATTTATTTAGTGTTGTTTTATTTCAGGCTGCCCTTAGAAAATAAAGGTGTTTTGTTCAAGGAGGATGGCAACTGGCATCTCTATTGGCAGGGCCGGCTCCAGGCACCAGCTTGTCAAGCAGGTGCTTGGGGCGGCCACTCCGGAGAGGGGCGGCACGTCCAGCTATTCAGCCGCAATTCGGCGGACGATCCCTCACTCCGGCTCGGAGCGAAGGACCTCCCGCCGAATTGCCGCTGCAGATCGCGATCGCGGCTTTATTTTATTTTATTTTTTTTTTGGCTGCTTGGGGCGGCCAAAACCCTGGAGCCGGCCCTATCTATTGGAAAGCAAAAGTCAAGCCAATTATTTTGCAGGATTCATCAGAGGAGGCATTTTCCTACAGGTGAAAGTGGACTATGCTTACACATCAATGAGTGCAAGACACTGCAGTCATGCCCCTTCACAGACCAAGGGTCAACCAGCATTGAAATTTTGGGACGAATGGAGAGGTTGACGATAAAGGCTAAACAAAATGAGGGTTTTAGCTATAAATCTCAAGGGGATGAAAAGCTTCCTGGTTTAAACATGCCGCTGATGCCATTAGTGTAGGCTGAGTGGAGGGGAATGGTAGTAATTGACTACAATTAATTTATGGCCTGAATTTCATAGATGATCAGCTGCCACAGGTCCTGCTGACTTCACTGGGAGCGGAGACTGTTAGCACATCTGGAAGGCAATTGCTGTGCAAAAAATATAATCTAAACAGGTAATTAAAATGCAGAAATGGCTTTAATGTTCTGGAGGTAGTTTCTGCATCATCACTGACCTCATGCTAAACTCATAGTGGGGTCTACATTGACCAGAGCTTGACTTTTCCCCTTATTTTTACGTAACTATAAGAGATGGTAAATTGCTTATTTCTGGGGGAATACAGGGGAGAAGAGAAGTTATTGCATTTTTTTTATATGGCTAAAGCCCTTTGGTCTCAACTTGGTCTTAACTTGATGATCCACAAGGTGCACTACCCAGTGTTTTATTACTTAAAATTCATTGTCTTTTTCCCAGAGTATATTTTCCTTTATCCTATAACACAACACAATACAACTTCAGCTCCTACTCCCATTAAAATGCTTGACAAAACTCCCAGTAACGTCACGGGCTGCAAGATCT